GAAGCCACAATAAAGCCTAAAGAATATAGGATGCAAAAAGGGATGATGGGGGAAAGTATTTGCTGTTGAAAAATGGATGGCAATGGAATTGGATGGTTCTGTTTTTCTGTGCTCATTATCAAGGAGCAAGACTACAATCCACCACAAAAGTATAACTTGTTATGTCTATATAAAATACCTAAGAAAGTAAGAAAGTAAATATTTCTTTATTTTATGCCACAAAATTGTCTCGTAATCCCCTTACCTTCAGTAAGCTTTCTCCTCACTGTACCAAAACACAAGCCAATGTTAAACTTTAGTGTTCTATTAATTTCATTCAATTACAAAGGCCACTTTCTCTCCTAAAAGCATGGCACAATTGACTTTTAAGTCCAATAACATTTCACTTTGTATCCCACTCATAACAACAACATAAAACATGACTGTTCAGCAAACCACTAAATTCCCATTGAGCCTAATTTTATCACTTCTGTGTCTTTCATAAATCTCAAATTTGTCATCCTACAAAATAAATCCAGTAGCCATTGGGTGATCATTTTTAACTGTTAGAAGTTTATCTTATACTTTTTTCTGAAGAGTAAAACAGGTAATTAGTAGCAAAGGCAATAGATAGTCTACTGTTTGCAATAGTGGTGAATATCTGTAGCTCGAGTGTAGGATGAGGGTAAAGGTTTGTTCTCCAAGCTTGTGGGTTGGTTTCTGAACATTTTGTTACCAGGCTAGGCAGTAGATGTTACCTAGCCTGGTAACTAAACATTCAGAAGCCAACCCACCAGCTTGGAGAACGAACCTTCACCCTCATAGTCTACTGTTGCAAACAATGCATAAAGAATAGCCCTGGGCTACTGGAAAGGATATTTTTTTAAACACAGTATAGCAAATATATGTCACTGAAAACAGACTATTTCCCCATATCCATTCACATCTAATGCCTTTGTGTAAAATGACAGATGATTGGACCCTTTCTAGTCACAACCTGAAGTAGTGGAGAAAAAAAATCATCTCTTTGGATAATTTTGTTAAAGCTGGTCATTCAAAAAAGTCAGTTTTGATGTCTTAATATGAAACTAGCTAATTTTAATCAAAGATGCATTGCTACAACTGGGAATGGCAATCACAGACTGCATAATGTAAGCCTTATCCTTCAACCGACTGAGTCAAAAGCACTTGTCTGAATAACAGAAACCAAGAAAGATAGAGCTGTAAGTTAAAGTTCCCAACTTGCCCCTTGAAGCATTCCAGAAAAGAGCTGCAGAGTAAAAACTGAGGCATTGATTAATAATTTATAATATATTGCATTATGATCAAATGGGAAGATAATATAGAAGCACGTGGGCCAAAACTATACACACAACTGAAGTACCTTGATTAGGAGGCTCAGTCCTAAATTTACATCATGTAACATCCATTCAACAATGTAGCTCTTGCTTGAATCACTTCATATGTCAGGCAAACCAACTGAACTGACATTAATCAAGAAGCATGGTACAAAACTAATGACTTAAGTTACAGGTCGTCCTCAACAGACCACTGCAATTCACCCCAAAATTTATGTTGCTAAGTGAATCATTTGTTAAATGAGTTTTTTCCCTATTTTACGACCTTTCTTGCCCCAGTTGTTAAGTGAATCACTAAATGAACTGTTGTAAGTTGAGGACTACCTGAATTGAAATTCAGTATCCTCAATAAATCTCTTTCTAAAAAAAGAACCTGAACTGAATTGAACTGACCAAGCAATAACTAGTAACTCTATAGTATTACTAATAATATACTATTAGTAGTAATAATCATACTAAGACATGGGGAAGGAGAGAAAAGAAGTATCTCTTGTACCAGCACTATTTCAGGATTCACTATGCGTATTTAGATCTTAAGAAAGATCATTTGCTTCTTCACGAAAATAATGTACTTGTTGCTCTTATTTGCAGAGCTGTTTCTGCATGTCTGTGTTTTCTTCATAGAAATTCATTAGGCATCTTCTAGATATATATATCTTCCTTTGAAACTCCCCTCGTCTCTCCCTTTCTGAAATCTAAAACTAGGAATGAATTTTCCATTCAGGGCTCTTCCAAACAATGGTATTAATCTGCCAGTAAAATATCTCAAGTAGTAGTTTACAGGGCACTGTGGCCTTTATTATTACGCAATGTATGTTTCCTCCATTGTTTCTTCTAATTAGAAAAAATATTTTCTTAACCTTTAAAATTCTCTGTATTGCCATAATTGTTATTTACTTCAAGAAACTCAGAAGCGCATTTTTTTTGCAACCCAGTCGAGCCCCTATGCGCTATTTAATCATTTCTTAGTTAACCAGGACAGAAACAGCAGCTTTAATTAGCTTCCAGTATTCTAGTATTTGTGTGTAAACTATTTAGAACTTATCTTCCTTCTTCTCCCTTCCTATTGATCCAGAAAACTGCAACATAATCACAATCATTTAGAGAGTTTCCCGGTGCAGCAATTATATATATAATACTTCTAAAACCACCCAACTTCTCAAAGACTCTGGTTGGTTTGCAAGCTGGAAACAAAAGAAACAGAAACACATCTGGCAAGAAAACAGGGATGGATAGTGGAAATGACATTGCCTGGTTGATGGGATCAGAGCATGCTAACCCTGTCTAATCTTACAAGACAGGCAGACAGACAATCCCTCATATAGTACATGCAGCATCATGTAGTGTTTTGTAGGAAACAATCAATACCTTGAATTGCATCCAAAAGCCTATTGATAACTACAGATAACATTTATCATTGAGCTGTGTTGGTGCAGTGGTTAGAATGCAGTATTGCACTAATTTTGCTGACTGCCTATTATCAACAGTTTGGCAGTTCGAATCTCACCGGCTCAAGATTGACTCAGCCTTCCATCCTTCCGAGATTGGTAAAATGAGGACCCAGATTGTTGGGGGCAATATGCTGACTGTGTAAACTGCTTAGAGAGGGTTGAAAAGCACCGTGAAATGGTATGTAAGTTTAAGTGCTTTTGCTATTCCGGTGTGCTGGGGTCATGTGATTTCAATTTGCAACCTTTTTTTCCAAATCCTGATTTGCCTATTGAGGCAGCTGCATCACTTTAAGACCATGTGGTTTGCTTACCAGCTATAGTGATTCACTTAACTGAAGAAACCGCACCCACCCCATTGCTGGCAATGGAGAAAAAGCTCCGCTACATCACGCGACGTCACATGACATCGCAAGCTTGACATGTCTGACTTAACTGCTGTAAAAATTGGGGTAAAATCAGATTCTACCTGATTTACAAATGCAATGACTTATGACAGAAATTTAAGTTCCAATTGTGGTTGTTAAGTCAAGGATGACTACAATGCAATTTGCAAAGCAGAGGTGTTATCTAACTATACTTCATTTTGGATCCAAAACCGTGCTGGACTGTCTCATGCTTTCTCTATTCAAGCGTGTTGCTCTTTCACAATGGCAATGGGCTGCTTTGTCCAAAGACTTTAATTTTTATTTTTTAATAACAGGTAATAGATATTTAATTTATGGAGAGGAGTATCTGATCGGTTGATATATTTTTGCTGCAAACTCTAGATTTGCAAAATCATAGTTTTGGATGATTGGCATATGTCCCTCCTCCATATACAAACAACAGGAAACAGTCCATCTACAACAGGGGTGTCAAACTGCCGGCCCATGGGCCGGATGCATCACGATGAAACCATGCCCACCCCATTGCCAGCAATGGGGGAAAAGCTCCAATACATCGTGCGACGTCACATGATGTCGCGAGTTTGACATGTCTGATCTACAAAGTTAGTAGCTGCTTAAATGAAAAATTTATTCTTCCTTCAATATTCTGAACGAGCTTAAGGTAAGAGCTTGAGATGCCTTAGGAAGTCTTTCTCTGGTATTATTGGTTTTGTTTTGTTTTGTTTCTAATTGCTAAGAAATTATGCCTCAAGTCTTATTCTTATGTGGCTCTGGAAAATACAAGCCAATATTTGAATTGTGAGTGCATCTAATTTTCTATTTCAATTTGATTTACCTTTATTATTCATGTGTGACCATCAGGTGTTTTAATTAGTATTTATTGGCTATATTAAGAGTTAATAGTATTAAAATACTAAGTAATTAAGAGTGGATACTGGTATCAAGCAGCTAGTTATGAATTATTAAATGCAGTTTGATTAAGAATGTTCTAATTATTGGTAATTATTTATACAACATCTATTGATAGATATTTCAGTTTTAATTTTTTCATATATTTTTCCAATGCGTTTGTTGACTAACTCTAATTAGAACCTAATTAGAAATATTTAATTTTTACTGAAGGCCTATTCATTGTTCTATAATTATTGTACAAGTGTCTTTGATGTCCTTTGTCATTCAACTGTACATAGAAGTCTTTGAACATTCGGCTTATGGAAAGGCAACATACAAACACATACCATGATGAAGATGAATTTCTTTGTCTTCTGCAGCATATAGAAAAACCCTTTTACTGTCCAGGATCTGACAAGTCACTCCTCCATTCTATCTTGTTGTCCTGGTACCCTATTCACCTGTGCAGTATACTATCCATATACTATCCATACTATACTTCTAATTAAATTTTATGATCAGTTTATTCAAAATACTTTGTGTCACATTGGCTCCATTTTTCTTCAATCCTTTTGATAATGTATGCATGTGGTTATCATTTAATTACTTTCAACCAAAAATGAGTAATAATATGCATCTCTCTATTTAATTTTTTCAGCCTTCCCCAATTTTGCATTAGATATTTTGACGTTGTAATTCCCAGTCTTCCTACCTCATGGTATTTGTCCCACCACTTTTGCAAGTTAAGAAACCTAGTCTGCTCCTACAAATTTACATCATACATGTGAGAAATTACTGCATTTAACATATGTTAAATTTGGACAATCAATTTCCTTGAGGCAAGCATAGTCAGAGAAAAACTGAAATAGTATAAATGATATGTAATTGCAATTTTTAAGTCAGAGTAAATTCTTTGCAGAAAATTAGAGTATTACCTTTTTCACAATGACTTCCCATGAATCCAAAAGGACAGGAACATGTATTGGGGGCAACACATGTCCCACCATATCTGCATCCTTCTTCACAAAATGCTGAAAAAGAAAACACCATTTAACTGTTGCATTGTACAATAAAACAGACACATATATCTATAACCCAGAAAGAGGTAAAGTACAATTTATTAAAAGACAAACAGAGTTCAAATAACAGCCCTAGGGAGAAAGACAGAAAGCCATATGGAAAATTAACAAAAGCAAAAAGTTAATGATTATTTGGCAAGGATATTAAAGGGATAAAAGAAAACATTTTGGAACTAAGCCTAGTCACAAAGATAGAATTGCATTTGAATGCTTTTAATAAATTGCTGAAGATATGGAGAAAAATTGCAAGAGGAATAATAGTAGTATTAGTACTGTAATGATAACATATTCCATTTTTTTCTAGGAACTAAGTTGGTCTAATTAAGGATTACCCTTTGTTTTATCTCCCCATTAAGATCTCTGTAATGTAGGTTGGGTTCAGAGAGTTACATAAAGTATGGATTAAAATAAATCCCTCTGTATCTTATGAATCAATGGTTTTAATGGAACAAGTACTGAAGGCAGAAGAACAATAACATAACATGGAAAAAGACATATGTAAGCTTTGAATATGTTTAAATAGACTGAACACATAATGATTACATATTTTCAGTTCTTCAAAATGTGACAGTAAAAGGATGATGTACTTGCCCTTCTCTTTCTGTACCTGATCTTCTCAGCTTCATTTTAAACAGAATTGTAAATATATTTGTCTGATTGATTGACTGTGTATCATCAAGTTGTTCTGAACTCCTACCAACCACATAGATTTTCCCCATGACAAAACTACATTTAACTGGACACAATCATGCTTAGTCCTCTATACAAAGTAGGATCACTAAACCTATATTTAGTAAACTATGTTTCAATGAATGTAGTTAGAACTCTGAATAAATGTAGTTAGAGTCCCTGATCAGAACTGACATCTCACATTGGAAGATGGTTGGAGGTAGCAAAGCTAAAAGACAAAAGTTTCTTTTAGTTGCAGAGTTAGAATCATTAATACTTGAAGAAGGCTATTTACACACACTTGGGACAAATAAATTCAAGCCCATTTAAATGTTTCCTGTCAATATAACTGCTCTTTTCCCATGGTTTAATTGTACACACCTCTAGTAACATGCCAATAATGGAATAATAATAGTTCACAAAGTTTACCATAGGGAGACCCACACAGTTCTACTATTGCTATGGTAGCATGAAATCCAAGCAGGAGAAAATAACAATTACCTTGAACATCAAGATCATGTGAAATATTAGTACTGTTTTATAAAACCCTACTAAGACCACACCTGGAATACTGCAGCCAGTTTTGGTCACCATATCACAACAAAGATGTTGAGAGTTTGGAAAAAACTCAGAGAAGAGCAACTAAGATGATCAAAGGCCTGGAGGCTAAAACATACAAAGAACAGCTGCAGGCTAGTCTAAAGAAAAGAAGAAATAGGGGAGACATGATAGCAGTGTTCCAGTATCTAAGGGGCTGTCACAAGGCAGAGAGGGTCAGAGCACCAGAGGAAGGATGAGAAACAATGGTTGGAAACTGATCAAAGTGAGAAGCAACCTGGTATTAAGGAGAAACTTCCTGACAGTGAGGACAATCAACCAGTGGAACAACTTGCCTCCAGAAATCGTGGGTGCTCCGTCACTGGAGATTTTTAAGAAAAGACTAGACCAGGGTTGTCAAACTCAATTTCACTGAGGGCCGCATCAGCATTGCAGTTGTCCTTGGGGGGGAAGGTGAATGTGGCCAGACTGGGTGCAGCCTACTGGGTGGGCATGGATGGAGTGGGTGTGACCTACTGGGTGGGCGTGGCCAGTTCTACATCATTTGGGTCAAGGGTGCCTGTGGGGGCCTGGCCAGGAGTGTGACAGATCTGAGGGTCTCTGGCAGAAGAGGTGGAACCGGGGCAAGTGCCAAGATGGCCACCACAAAATTGTACATTGGCTCCTGGCTGGCCTGGGCCAGGGCCAAGGCAGCAGGGGCCATTCCCTCACTGTTTCCAGGATGGCTTTGAGGGCCACATGAAACCACTTCACGGGCCGCATCCAGCCCCCGGGCCTTGTGTTTGACATGTTTGGACTAGACAATCACCTGTCTGAGATGGTATAGGTTCTCCTGCTTGAGCAGGGGGCTGGACTAGAAGACCTCCATGGTCCCTTTGAGCTCTAGTTTATTCTAATATTCTAATTTATATCAAACATTTTCCTTTCTGGATATCACTGGAAATACTGTGGATAACTTGTCAAGAGCCACCTACAATGTCACATGCTTATAAGCAATGTAAATCATATTCTGTGTGCTACATTTCATGAGACACCCTGTGGGCTACATAAGAGAAACTATCATGAATAATTAAAAATGGCTTTTGCATCAGAATTGACAACATAATCACCCACCCATCCTGCAATCACAGGAGCACTGGCAAATAAAAGCTACAAAGGATATGAAAAGTAAGTCAAGTGTTGCAAAATAGAAAAAGTCCTTCAGCATAACAGTGCAATGAAATGGGCAAAAATGCTTTGGGGCTTCAATCATAATTTATAATTGCTTATAGTGAGCAGAGCAAATAGTACCACAAGGTACCTCCTTTTTTGCTTTAATTAATTAATTAATTATAAGAAGCTTTAAAAAATAGAAAGAAAAGAAAAGAAAGGTAGAAAGAAAATAAAGGCAGGAAAAAAGACAAGAAACTAAAATGAGATTTACACACAGAGTTGAATTAAAATTTCTGTAGCATTAAAATATTGCCACATATTAAATTATTATAGTTTCTCAAAACAACCCTACATGTTTGTTGAATTAGCAAAGTGGTTCTGACCATTTTGAGGAAAGAATCTTGAATGATCTCATTTATCTTTATTATTTTAGAAGAAACAGTTCCCTTTCGGGTCATATTTTGAAAACTTGAAAATTTTGTGGACAGCTTTGATTTGATACTTATTTTTTTTCTACGTAAACTGACAAGGGTTTCTTTGATTGCAGTGGCATAGAAATATGTTTAAGAGATAAAATAAATAAATAATATTCAGTCTAAAATCATAAATAGTTGCAATCTACCTTCTTCATTTTAAAGTTCTTTATAGCTAGTTGCCTAAGTTTGTAGCAGATTTCTAATATACTGCATATGACTAACTAACCCCCTTTTTAATGTACAAAGGTCATAAATTTCTCGCCAAGTCATTTAGATTTTAACAAATTAATAGTGTCATTTTAATACAAATCTCTCCCCATCGTATAATATGTTCATTTTTAACCTTTTTTAACTGAAAAATATTTTTCTCCTTTTGAATTAACTAGTCAATCCTTTACTATTACTTGAATCTTTTAATTTAATCCATAGCAGTTATCAGATTGATTTATAAATAGTAACTGTTTGGACAGTTTTTAATCTTTAGTCTGTTCTGGAACTTATATGTCCTGTTCTGTAACTGTTAATGACTCAGCTATTTCTTGACTGACTTCTTGGTTGGCTTGACATGCTCCAACTTCACTAATTTTAGGCCTGTTTTGGGGAAATGACATACTGTACATAATAGGGAATCAAAATAAGGGAAAATGGTAGAGTCAAACTATTACAAAGTGGAGCTGGAGGGGATTGCCTGGTTAAGAAACTCTTCTTTTTTTACAAAGTCAATCTTATATCTCTAAAAAGAAATCATAGAAGACACGCTGATTAAAACTGCCTTGATTCAGAATAGTGTCCCAGAAGTTGAAGCCTCAGGTAGACAGAGAAAGTGCAGCTTTACCATCAAAGCAAAAAAAAATTGCCTGATAAGCAAAAAGATACATTCAGCTGATGGGAATACATGTTTCACTATAATTGGAATAAGAGAAATAAGTGCTATATGGAACATGAGTTCCCTCAATGGCATAATTAATTCAGTTCAAATGTTTTCTTTTTCTCAGTAAAATTAAATTACTTAGCACTTGAAAAAAAATCCAAGTTGAAACAACTAAGTCTTTATTAACCTCAGAGAGATCACTAAATAGAAATGATATTGAATTAACATTCTAGTGCACTGCAGTATGATGAAAATTAGTATTCTCGGCACAACAGTAAAAGCAACAATGGGAAGAAAAGGCTTTGGCAATCTTTTTATCAACTCACAACAAATGTACTGCTGGTACATACTGCATTATTTCAAGAAAATAGAGTTGGATGTGGTTGTTGTGAAAAGGAGAAAGATGTTAACTTTGCTCTTGTAGGAGATCCATTGCAACATCCATTCCCTGAGAAAATTGATGTTGCAGTGTTAATATTGTGAATTTCCATCCTACATTCATCATATAACCAAGAGCAAACAAAAATATACAGCACTGAAATATCATTTGTTAAGGATATTAATTAAGGACATCAGCTAATAAAAATGGGTGTCTGCTTGACCTGGGCTTCTCAGTTTCTCAGTCGACTGAAGCATGGTGAGGCATAATATTATTTCATTAAGCTAAAGAAGACATTTATAGGAGCCAGACATACACAAGTTTGCCTTTATGCATATGATCATAACTCTTATTAGAAATAATAAGACGCTATTTGGGACTGTGTAAGTGACGTTTTTAAGTCCTGGTTATTGTTAATGGTATTAAAAGCGTGATGTGATATAAAGTTGAATTCAAAGTTGCATAACATTTATGATCCAGCAGAGATTTCCACGAAGGGGAGGAAATGACATTTTTCCTGGTTTTCCCAAACATTTGCAGTCCCCCATGTCTTCCAAATAATAATAATAACAAGAAAGAAAGACCAAATGAAGAACAGAATAGAGGCATGGGAAGACAAAGCACTTCATGGCCAATACATTAAAAAAATAGCTGGGAAAGCAGATAATAACAAGACCTGGCAATGGCTAAGAGCAGGAAAATTGAACAAAGAGACCGAGGGACTAATTCTGGCTGCACAAGACCAAGCCTTAAGGACAAATACATATAAAGTCAAAATTGAGAAGACAGCAACAGACAGTAAATGCCACCTATGCAAAGAAGCTGAAGAAACAGTGGACCACCTGGTAAGCTGTTGCAAGAAGATTGCACAGACTGACTACAAGCAGCGGCATGACAAAGTAGCAACAATGGTGCATTGGAAGATCTGCAAAAAATATATTTGCCTGTAAGCAAAAACTGGTGGGATCATAAAATAGAGAAAGTCATAGAAAATGATAAAATTAAACTGCTCTGGGACTTCAGAATTCAAACAGACAAGCACGTGCAACATAACAAAAAAGTCTGGATAGTGGACGTGGCAGTGCCTAGAGACAGCAGAATAGATGAGAAAGAACTGGAGAAGATAACAAAATACAAAACCTACAAATAGAAATAGAAAGACTGTGGCAAAAGCAAGCAAGGGTAGTACCAATAGTAGTAGGCTCTTTGGGTGCAATCCCAAAACAACTGGAGCACCACTTGAACACCATTGGCATTGACTAATTCGCTATTAGTCAATTGCAAAAGGCGGCCTTACTAGGAACTGCTTCCATCTTGCGCGATATCTGTAATACCATCAAACATCCACATCTGCCTATCCCAGGTCCTGGGTAAGGACTCGATAGGTAGACAAAATGCCAAATCCAATGTGAACATCTGGCTGACTGTGCGATGATCCATAATAATAATAATAAAAAAAAGTTGGAAGGGATCTTGGAGGTCATCTAGTTCAACCTCCTGCTCAGGTAGGAAACCCTATACCATTTCAGACAAATGGCTGTCCAGTCTCTTCTTAAAAACTTCCAGTGTTGGAGCATTCACCACTTCTGGAGGCAGGTTGTTCCACTGATTAAT